GCGTATCCATACAATAACGCACATTTATTTCTTGTGAAAACAAAACTCATCCATCCACTCAATTAGGAAAAGAAAGAAAAAATATAAAATTACAAAAATAATTTCCTAAGAAATAGTTTTTGACACACAAAGTCGAAAAGTCGCAGAAATTGTGACAAGAAAAAGGACGAGAGAAAGATGATGAAGCAGAAGGAAAAAAAAGTGGAAGTAGAGGGAAATTATGATGATGATCTACGAAAGGGACCACCATAGAAGTCAAATATGACAGAAGTAAAAATTGAAATAACATCTCAATTTCACATGTAATGTGAGGAAATATGACTCTAGAGATACCTTCCTCGATTACATATCTCACATATCTCGTACAGACAATACGAAATGTATAGGAACTAATGAATTTAAAATAAATTGAGGTGCCTTGACGTGTCAAATAAGTAAGATCAACGTAATTATGCCACCTTTTTGTAATCACATTTACACTATTGCCATCTTCATCATCATCATCAAAGGAGGTTAAAAAGCAACGACATTAGTAATCAACGATAGTCTTTCAAAAATACTGTTTTTTATTTTAAAAATCAACCGTATTCTTCACAATTATTTTCATTTTAAATTTTATTTTGATTGTCGGAAGAAATTTATGTGAATTTTTATCCCGTCATTAACAAAGGTCTTTCTCAATTTTTTCTCTGTTCATAATTTTGATATCTATCTTATTCACACACAATTCACAATTCAACAGCAAATTGAGATAATGCCTTGTCCTCTAAAATTATAACTGTGACATTTTTTTTTATTTCTGTTGTTCTTTTCCAGTTTTTTTTGTGTTACACAAAAGTTGAGGCCAAGTTCATTAACCAAGCAATTCATAAATTCTAACACAACATGGTGCAACAGAGACTTGCTGAAATTTTTCGGTTTTTCAAATGCCGAAAAGATATTGCTTGTTAAACTATGAAGTAAACACATACTCACAGCAAACACACCAAGCAGAAAAATAAAAGAACAAAAAAATGTGACAACATGAAAGTTCAATAAAATCATAAACCATAAATCCATTGCGGAGCTTGTGTTTCTCCATGTCTTTTGGCTCTTTTCGGGGCATTCCGAAATGTGAGACATGTTTAAAATATGAAAAATGTCTTTGCCGTGCTGCATTGCTGCAAATGTTATATTTGTTGTCTTTTGTCTCATGCTGTATATGAATAAATATATTTAAACAAAAAGAGCAAAGAATGCACTCTACTCTAGCTGTAAAGTAGAATAAGAAACAAGACAAAGAACGAGAGACAAACACCATTGGGGAGATGTAGGACCTCCTGTTGATATTGTTGTGTGTAAGATTTCTTCTTGTAGGTGGTCGATGTTCAAATGTGACACAACAGCAAGGTATATGAGAAAAATTGTGTTCTGAGGTGTTTTCACAATAAATCGTGGTGTTATGATTATTTTTATTATTTTATTAAAAGGATTTCTTTCCTTTACATTATTTTTATTTCTTCATCTCATAATGAATATTTAAAATAAAATCACTGGGTATTTCTGTTAAAATCCTTAATATAAAGGATTTTTCTCGATTGTATTTTTTTTGATATTTATGTGGTCAAGTGAAGTTTATTGTATTCCTTAATTGGATCAGATGATTTGTAAGAACTAAGAAACCAAGAAATTGTCATACAAAGCTGAGAATTTTGATACAATACATGATAGGGTTTTGAATAGAAAAAAATTCTAGTTCACAAATAGTACTTTCCAAACTCTTGTTGGTTACATCCGAATTCAAAAATTTTTGCAAGCCGAAATTGGACGTAATTAGGAAATTCACTTTGTGAATAATATGTATAATTAAGTTTAATTCGGTAATTGGTTCTAGCTGACAAAGTGAAGTTAGCAGGAAAGGTAACCAAAAATTGAAAGTGGTATATCCAGTTATAGGACGAAAATATTAAGATACGGAAAGTAAATGAACGTAATATGGACGTAATTCTGACAAAGTTCGATCTGAGTTCAAACACAGAAAGCTATATTCAGATTCTTAAATGTAACCAAAAGTACACATTAATCAACAGAAGAAAAATTAATATTCATTAAACTATATCCTTTAAAAAAATAATAATAGGCATTCAAACTAGCTATTATTTAAACAAATCTACAATTTAACACGTTTTCACAATAAAAATGATTTCTTTAAAAATCACTTCCCATTTTCGCTTGCGAGTTATTCAATTCTTCAAGGTGGTCTGAAAATGATCTCTTAAAAAGTCGATGTGTGAATGTTGAGGCGCTTTGTTGCACATTTTTTTTTTCCTCTTTTAGAAATATTTATTATTTCCTTGTTATAACTTGGTGATGGATCTCAACTTGATATGGATTATAAAAAGAAAAAGTCGACGTCGGTAGTGACTATAGGATTCAACATAAGAATACCTCAAGAATATGGTTTTAAAATATCATTTCATTACTTAATACAATTGAAAAGTGTCAGGATGTAATTCTTCAATTCAAAATCATACAATAAACTCATCTACCTGGCATGGAAAATCGGAAAGAGAATCAGGAACGAAAAGAATCAAGAATATCAAAGTTGAATGAGGAAGAAATAAAAGTAGAAAGGAAAAAAGAATAAGGAGAGCAACTTCATGTCTAAACATTTAATTAAGGGTCTTAAAAGAGATTTATGTGAATATGATACAAATGCTGACTAAAGCTGATACTATATTTTTAATTTTAACCACTGAACTGAAGAGGCTTTATTTTTTCTTTAAAGGACACGCATCTTGATCATAATATGAGATGAGGAAAATAGAGGAAGGAAATGAACAAATGAATGTCTAATGAATTATACAAAGTATAACTTATAATGTTGATATTCATGACGATGTGTGAGAAACTGGAACACATTTTGACGTTAAAAAGTTCAAATCCTTAAAAAAATCTTAAAAAAGTTAAATTTTGAAACAAAAAAAATAAAAGTTCTGAGTTTCTTTCCTCACTTTAGTTGTGTTTCTCTGCTTTTTATCTCGATAAGCGTGACGGAGTTTTCAACTCTATTTTGATGTCAATAAAATTTGTAATGCTTTTTGGATACGCTCTTTGAGCATAAAATACTTATAGTATAGTCAATTTGAGGCAACAGAAAAGTAATATTGCAGGTATTGCTAAACTGCTTTGTTTTGTACATCAGTTCTACCAGCAAAGTGTAAAAACGACTTTTTCTTTATGTTTTCTTTTCTTCAATTCTTTCTTCATGGTCAATTTTTTCTGCTCTTTTTATGTGAAATCGTCTTCAAAATATTTTGACATTCAAACGATTCTTTTTTCTTTTTCTTCCTTCTTTGCTCTTTCCTCTTTTAAGCAATGTTTTCTGTCCTGTAATTTGTGAATGGAACAAGTGTAATAGACAATAGAAAAGAAATTCAAAGATTTTTTATTTTTTTGCTGATACCAAAAAAATGTATTTCAAATTGACGCAAGTAGGTTAAATCAATTTTTAAATGAAATCGTATTTTAACGGGAGAAACTTTCTGAAAAGATTTCGATCTAAACAAGAGCAATTTTCAGCAAAGTTTCTAATAGATTGAACAATCAGCATCATACTGTAAAACGATTACAGTACGTAATTCCTCGTCAAGTTTACAATATCAATTCATATGCAAATTAATGTGAGTAAATTTTTAATATTTTCTTAAATATTTATTTATTTTTAAATTTTAGGGGTAGAAAAATTATAAATTGATAGGGAGGAAAGAGAGAGATTATGTGGTTGTTTATAAATTATTTAAAAAATAAGCAAGGGATTTATTTGCGGATAATGTAGGATCAATGTAAATTAATATATAATTTTTAAAAAATAGAACAAGAACAGGCAGTAAAATAAAAGTTATTGTAAATTTAAGAATAATATTAGCAGTTCAAAACACACAATAAGAATTAAAAAGAGTTTTAAAAATCATCAGTCTTCGTGAATTTCTTGAAATAGAATGATACTTTAGCTCAAAATATAGTAAGATGATTTTCATACATAAATTATTGGTATTGGAGGTTTTATTTTTTTCGTGTCAACAACATTCCAGTTCACCAAAAGAAAAAATTATTAAAATATTCCAAACTGAGAATTGTTAAATTGTAAAAAGAGAGTTCTCAAAAAAAATATTGTTGAAAAAAAAGGAATAAACTGCTAATCAAAGGAAAATAGAGAAAATTCCATGACAAAATGGCTAGTCACGCCCATCGCATTACTCTCTAAAATATATGGAAAATATCTCTCCACTTCAAAACTGAACCTCACTTCACTTGAATTCAAATTGCATATATCCATCATATCATAATAAAATAAACATAAAACACACAAATACAATCATGAATACTCGAGATTCAAAGTGAGGAAAAATTGTAGACTTATCATGTGATTGTGTTGATGTCTTGTCTTGTGAATGATATATGAACTAAAGGAAAAAAATTATCCGCCTTTTTATTTTTTTTTCTCTCTCCACGAAAAAAAAAAGAAATACCAACACAGACAAGTGATTAATAAAGTAAATCAGTAGAAGAATAAAAAAATATTCATCAAAAATCGAATTCTTATTAAAAACTTGGCTTTTATCTATTTTTTTTTAAATTATAAATAAACTATTTGTTATTTAAAGATATAAGTTATTATATATGAAGGTAAAGCCAATGATAACCCTATACTAAAAATTACAAACAAATCTTATCTTCAAGGATATAAAAAAGTGCAATTCCAATAAAAAGAAGTATAAAAAGTAAGACATTTCTCTCTTACAATTCATATTTCCAATTCAATTTTCAATCCATTGTGCATAAACACTACAAAGAATCTACAGTAAGGATGTGTGCGAGTCTAAGTGTTTATGTATTTAAATATGTTTCTATGTGTATCCCTCATTTCTTTGCTGTCTGCATTTGTCGACTTTTTTTGTGGTTGGCTGTTGTTGAAATGTATTTTTCCTCTGCTTTATGTTTCTATACATTGCTAGCTTTTGAAGTCAACAATTTGTACATTTTTATTTCTCTGTTCTGTTTTCATTTTTTCTCGTCTCTGCCTTTCGATCATTTAGTGTTTGACTGCACTTCTTACAACCACGTACGCGCGCTGCTCGGATATTTTTACATATATTGTCAATTCCTTTTATTTTTGGATTTCGAGTTGTGTGTTGACATTTTTAGTAAAGAAAAAAATCAGATCGCGTAACTGACGATTATCCAACATAGGAAATTATAATCGAACATAATTTTTACCGAGTATTTTGGATTAAAATTAAGTTTAAGTGAATAAAAATATATTTTTGTGGAAGAAAAAAATTAAATATGAATTTTGTGCAAAAAAATGATTAAATGAATAATTTCAAAAAGGGTTTTATATATTTTTTTCATAAAACCAGTTAAAATTTTAATAAACAAAATAAGAAAAATTTTAAAAGAGATTGTTTAAACTTAAATTTAAAATAATTTAAAACAGTGAAAATGATAACAACACAAAATCGTTGTGCCGCCGCTAATATTTCAACAGCTAATTTAAAAAACGGAACAGACTTTTCAATTGCTGCAATCATGGCTCGTGATGAGCTAAGTAGGGAGTCATCTGAATATAGCATAAGTATGAACAAAATTGTTCCTTTTTTATTATGGAAATTTAAATGCTCAACATTTTGATAAGGCTGATGTTTTTTTTAAAATTAGTGTTCTCAAAAATTATTATTTTAAATCAATTTTAAAAGAATTTATAATTTTGGTTCATTCATCTTAAGTTGCACTTTTAAAGTCAAAAATGTTTACTTTATTTATTATAATCATAAGTTTCGATAAAACCGTGTAATTAACTGTCATCAACATCATTGTAATAATTATTTTTCAATTTGAGCAAACTGTTATAGATATTTTTCAGAAAAGTCATTTCAAGCTCATAAAAAAACTGCAAATGCGACTACTATTATCGCAATGATTTAATTTCCATGAACTAAAATTTCCTCTTTCAATAGTAATTTAAAACAAATTAAAGTTGTTCACAAAGTGAAAAATAGAAGAAAAAATATAATTTTGCCGTCGTATACAACACACATTGTGAAGTTAACTTTGAAGCCGCATGGAAGTTAATGACTTAATTTTCAACTTCTATCATAGAAAAGTTATTAAACGTGATACATTTGAAGTTGACACAAAATGTACAAGCTGCGTTATTGAACTAAATTTGATGAACATTACTCAACTTTTTCACATGTAATTATCACAATGCAATCTATGCCAATTGTCAAATTAATTTTTGTTCAATTTAAATGCGCACAAGCGATACTTTTCGCGAATTATACTTGCATTAAATTTTTCATTTTAAACGAAACTTGTGCACTCATTAATTATAATCAACGGCTTTACGACAATAAATTTTAATTGGAATTTTATTAAATTAAATCGAATTCATTTCATTTACATTTAAATGTGAATTTTCTCCTTGCCCTTTTCTACACAAACTTGATTTTTGACAAATAAATTTTACATATGTTTAGGTCCCGCATCAATAGACCGCTTTCCTGAAGGAAATGAAGATGAATTAGATGTAGATGTTGAGCAATGTAGTGATTCAGAAACTCCGTCCAGATCACGAACGCCTAGAACCACATCAAATAATTCACGAGGAACTTCGCCTAGTCCATCAGATGAGGAAAGACTCACACCCGAACCGGTAAGTCTAATATACTTTAGTAGTTCAGATTAGATTCAACTAATTCTATTTTTAATTTACATCAATGAAATAATCTAGAGTCGACCAAAAATAACAGGCTCATGTAACTGCGATGATTTGCGACCAGTGCAATGTCATTTGGAAACAAAAGAATTATGGGATAAATTCAACGATTTAGGAACTGAAATGATTATTACAAAAACAGGAAGGTGAGTAAAAATGATCAAAAATATTTACGGATTTAAAAGAGATTTTCGCAAATTCATAAAAAATTATTGATGTTTTAAATAATAATTTAAACTGCCACACACGTATCAAACTATTAATATATTCGCTTCACACGTTAAGCATTTACAGTTATAAAAAGTATTTAAAGCATCTGTCATACAATAAAGTTATTTAATTGCTTAAAGTTGAGAAAATTTATAAACAAATATACAAGTATTGCTTCAATAAATTAATTGCTTTATGAAGCATTGTGGAATTAAACTCAGACGATACCTTATTATAAATAATAATAAAAAGTTCAAAACCAACTCTTGTTATTCTTGACACATACTCATCATTAAGCCTATCATGTTCGAATAATCTGTAAACGTGAATTTGATTTTACCATCTTTTTTCTCCATGAAATCTGTAAAATATTATACTGCACCAAAACTATCGCTCATTAATATGCAATTGACGTTGCGGCCATAAATTGAACAATAATAATTTTAGTATTTTTTTTCTCATATTTCTGAAATGGATAATATAACAACTAATAGTGATACATTGTAGCATGCATAAGTATCGATATCGGACATAAATTTAAACATTACTATTGCAAACTTGTATTTTAAGCTCCTACATTTAAAACTCCTTTTCCGTTTACTGCATTTAATGGATGTTCCGTTCTGCAAACACATGTTTACCTTTACAAATATTCTGCTAATAACTTTTTGACTTAATATCACTTATTTTATATTTCTACATCGTCATGATTAGCTGTTAAAAATTAAAAATAAAATGTAGATGTAGCACAGAACATTTCTTAGGATTAAATTCAAATAAAATGTTTGAGGTTTCTGTTTCATGTCATAAGTTTGAAGATGATTCAAATTCATCATCATCATTCCCCAATTCAATTCAATTTCCTCTTTTATCATAAAATTTATTTCTTATCTTTCTTATGCATCTTCATATTCTTTCTTATTTCAATAGACTGCAAAATTTATATTAAGCTCAATTGGCACATTGGACATAAAACGGAAATGAACAGTACTCATCAAAATTTTAATATTGTATATCATATGAACGCAATAAAAAATGAGAATGTCTTAATTAATTTTTATTGACTCAAAATCGAAAAATGATGATAAAGTAGATAGAACAACGAAATGAATAGAAAGAAGTAAGAAATGTTTTAATTTACAAAAAATGAACATTTTTATGAGCCTTGAAAACATCTGTTTCATGGAAATTAGATTCACTTTTTTAATGTCATGTAGTCTTCTTCTTTTAAGTTCCTTTTACAAAATTTCTGTTTCTTTCATACACTAATTTATTTTCAATAATGAAGAAAAGTTATAATTTATAGACAAGACAAATTTCATGGTCATATAATATATATATATATATATATAATAATGAAGATTGTTTGATGTAACTTGAAAAATGATTCTTGATTAAATGAAAATATCACTGAAAGCAGATTTTTTATATTTACTAAAGAATGGCAAGAAATTATCACTGAAACAAATTAAAAAACAAACTACCCACAAATCCGGAGCTAATTAAGCTTTTCGCGTTGCATGTCATAAATCATTTTGAACTATAGCAAAGCGAGAAGACATAAAAACTTTTTTAAAAAATATTTCATCCATTCTCTCATCTTCAACATTTTTTTGCTTATAATTTATTATCAATTATATCAACACCAAATTAAAAAAGAGTGTAATTTTATCCCTAAAAACAGCAGGGAAGTTTTGGAAATGATCTTGATAATGATTTTGAGGTTTAATCATCAGCCTCTGATTCTCATTTTTTCCGCTAGGAAATTTGGTGAATGTTATATTTTCTCATAGACAGGAAAATGTCGTGTTGAGATTCATCGTAAACTCTTTAAACTGGTCGATTCTCTATGTTAAAAAAATATATTTAAATTTTAATGAATTATTTATCACCTCTTTTTGATTTTAATTTGGTGTTAAAAGTATTTTTAATTAATTATCGGAATATCGGTTTTTTTTTTATTCTAAAATAATACGAGAACAAATTGCTGCTAACGATTAACATGTTCATTACACTCGTAAGTAATTTTTATCTAGAAAAATACAAAGCAATTATAAATCGATTAACAAACTTCAAGGCCTTAAATGCGCGCAAGATATATAGATGGGCTCATACAGAGTATACTTGACCATACTCGACCATACTATTTTTTGTGTACTTATACAAACAAAAATTTTTAAAATTTTCTATTTTCAAGTTTTCATTTAAATATCGACAGATGCAACAACATTTGACTTAAGTCAGTTACTTTAAATTATAGCAAAGCATTTGCAATACTCCTGTATCAACAAAACTTAACAGAAAGTTGAAAATTTTGCAAAACAAAAATTGAAAATTTTCTTTTATAGTGTTAGTGTTTTTAGAAAATTCAAATTTTTGACGTTTAAAAACTGCGATATTTTTGTATGAGCACATCTATATATCTTGAATGCGCGCAAAACAATTACCGTAAAATATGACATATGGGAGTATCTATAAATTTTGTTTAAATTTCAGTAAGTTACTAAATGTTTAATATTTTAATTGTTCTGATAAATTATACATTAGCTTTACCACAAAAACCACCTAAAACTTTTGAAAAAAGAAAAACGTTTATACCATGATTGATTGACATTCGATTCACCTTTTTAATATTTACTAGCTTTTGTTGAAAGATTTCAAAGAAATGGGTAATCTAACACATATCAAACATCTAAACTGTTTTGTAAAAAATATCACAAAAAGAGAGAAACAGAAAGAAGAGATGTGAAAAATATTAGACTTAACAGAAGGTATGATTCATATTATTAATTCTAAACTCCTAGGAAATTAAAATTCTAATTCAAACAAATTCAAATCTGATTCACAATAATAGAATATGTACCGAAGTTGAACAATTCACTGAAAATAAAATGACATGTCATGAAAAGAAAATAAAAATTCAGCAATCACATGAAAATTGTACATTCTTGTGGCTGTTCTTTAACTCTTTTACCAAATGAAATGTTTTGCGACTTGAAAGGAAAATTGCAGCAATTTACGGACTTTTGATTTAACGATGACGTGTAGAAATACTTTTAAAACAATAAGTATGCCAAAAATCAGACCGACCGCATATAAATAAATTGAAAAAAAATGCACAAACTGTTTTCACCCATTCATTTACCTCAACATCGTTTTTCACAAAAAAAATTCTGAGTTTCTTTTTAATTAAAACACAAAGAAATCATCATAATAATCATTTCATGCCTTCACGAATAACTTATAAAGTTCAAAAAATTAAAAATATTTCGTGATGGTACAAAACGAAAAATAAAAACAATAATAATGAATTGGCAATTGCCATTTTATGTCCATGCGATGACGATATTTTGAAAGGAATATTGCTCTCGATTTTCAAAGTGTCTTATACAGAAAATAACACGCGATGTTATATTCACATGAACTCTCATGAACAGTCTTAAAGCTGCAAAAAAAAGTTTTAAAAAAATACTTATGAAGAATTTTTAAAGGAAAAAAAAATCTATAAATCATCCTAATCAGATTTAAAATCTTGCACAATTGTGTTTCGCACTTAAAAGGGCTTTTATTTGCAAATTAAAATTAATTTTCTTCTAATTGAAAATCTTTCCGGCAATTTTCGATTTATATTTTATTACGTCTATCAAGGGTTTACTATAAAGCTACATGCACAATGCGTTTGTATGAAATTTTCTAAATACACGATGCGTAAAAATTCAGCTACATTTTATTTTATTTATTGCTGTCTATTATACTTGCATACTGCATACACAAACTTACAAACTTACACCTCCCTTACGTTCATGTTTCTATTTGTATTCATCGCATTTTTCACTCTTCCCATTTCTTTCTATTCATTTTCGTTCTTATTATGTATATTTCGTTCCTACTATCTTTTTAAATTCCCATTGGAAATGGAAATGAAATGCAATTGCATGTTATTCAATTATTACTTTACTACCTCTACCACAATAATAATAATTTTCATTTCAATTCTTTCTCTCCTCCCACGTTGTTAGAAATGATACAAAATTTATAAAAAAAAAATTGTATGGAATTGTTAAAGGAAATTTAATTTCTGTGTTGATCGATATGAAAATTATTCGAGGAGTTTTGAGCAATGTAGTGGATCAATAAATTTATTCTTTAAATCATGAAAAACACATTCTTTTTTTTAAAAAAAAAAATAAGAAAATGTACGAAGTTAAATAATCATGAATTCATAAATTTTAAAGGAAAAAAGGTTATTTAAAATCGTTTTTGAAATTTAAAATAGAATTGCACTCGGATGTTCACATAGTGCTAAAATTCAATAATCAAATGCTAAATACCACTTGTCATACTTTTGTCTATCAATTTTTTAATTCCTATTCATTCTTATTTTTCGATTTAAATCAAAATAGAAAGCAGAAAGGCTCAAAATTACCGCAAGTAAATTGTGCAAGACAGAAAACTAATTTAATATGTTACAATTTGATCCATTTCTGTTCTTTTTTTCAAATGTTAGTATTGTAGACATGTTTAGTATACAATAATAAAAAAGAAGAAAATGTTTTGTTACCGCTTTCCGATACAAACCACTTTCCCTCCACTTGCCTATGATTATTACTGTTAAAATGGCAAAATAATGTGGCAAAATGTATTCAAACGTAAATACAATAAGCAAAGCAGACTGGCAATAAACTCGTTTAAATGCCTTCAAATTGAATTTGACATTTTGATGCATTCGTTAATTTGGTGTCAGGAAGTTTGATGGCTGCTTTAACAGTAGCAGTTTTAATTTTAATTCATCATGAAACTTAATCGAAAAAAAAATCGATTTATTCTTAGTCGATTTGCATTTTTTTCCTTTCTTGTTTCATCAGATATAAAATGTTAAATACTCTTTTGACAACAACTTCCATCAAATTCATCAAAAGAAGATGAAAATGAAAAA